TCCAATCTCTTCTCTTCTTCTTCTTTATACCCTGCTGAGATCCCTCCCAATGGCCCACCCTCCCCCAAATCTCCAAGTGTTTCCCAATCCATAGCTGGCATCCCTCGTCGACCCCCACTGCTATCAAAATCAGCCTGCGCTGCGGCGACTGGGAGAAGTTCCCAGATCAGAGTCACTGGGATAGATACGTTCACCCACGTCGCTTTAGCCTCAGGCAGAAAAGATTCTCGCACAAATCAGGGACACAAAAAAAACCGATTTCAAAACCGTTTAGTTCTAGGGAGTTCCCCCAGCAATCTGCTTGCACGCCATGGCACTCCCGTTTTGGCACCAATTTGGCACATGCAGAGCTGCTGAGTGCAGGGAGCGGACGTCTGCTGAGCAAGGCTCATTAGAAGACAAAGAAGAGATTGGTTTTATACCCCCGCCCTTCACTCGGATTCTCAGAGCAGCTCACCAACTCCTTTCCCTTCCCCTCCACACAACAGACACCCTGTGAGGTAGGTGGGGCTGAGGGAGCTCTTTCCAGAACTACCCTTGAGAGCGCCGCTCTTACAGAACGATGGCTTGCCCAAGGTCATCCAGCAGGTGCAAGTGGAGGAGTGGGGAATCAAACCCGGTTCTCCCGGATTAGAGTCCGTGCACTTAACCACTGCACCAAACTGACTCTCATTAGTCTATCCGTGTTGGTACTGTCTACTCAGACTGGCAGTGGCTCTCCAGGGTTCCAGGCAGAGGTCTTTGACATCACTTACTGGGTGATCCTGTAAACTGAAGGTGCCGGGGATTGAACTTGGGACCTTCTGCACCTGAAGCAGGTGGTTCGGCCACCGAGCCGCGACCCCTTCCCCTACGATCAGTTGACCCGAAGTCTCCTGTAAGGAACGAACCGACCTGATTTCAGGTTCACAGAACTCTCCTTGATTTCTACTCTGCCATCAAACTTTGCTGCCTCTCCTTGGTCCACTCTCCTCCTAGCTTACCTTACAAGGTTGTTATGACGATAAAGTGGGGGTGGAGTGCTGATCCTTTCATGTACATAACCCAAGTTATTAAGGGGAAGGGGCTTCCTTGGCAGGGAGCCGATTGACAGATCTCCTAGCAAATCGTACACTCCATCCATACATTGTGGTAATAGTTGGAAACTTACCTGAGAAATCTCCCATAGGGATGACCCTTAATTTTGTCAAGCACTCCAAAAGAACAGGTTAGCCACAGTTTAGTTTGGAGAGAGATTTACAGAAGATTTATTTAATCAGGTCTTCTATTTACACAATTCACCTTCACGTACTAAATTTTTTTTTTGCTACTCTACAAGAACAGTTCACTCGACACATTAAAACAGCTCCTCATAGAAAAAAAAAAAAACCCCGAAAAAAATATTCATTATAGAACAGTAGTGCATACATTATACTCCTGAAAAGCCAGCTTGTACTTTAAAACGAAGAGGTTTCGGAAGATTCACTCATTTGAAGTTGTTTTAAAAAGAAGGTCAGGAAATGAGCACGTAGGATTCTAAAATTTTGGTTAGCAGTAGTGTGTTCTGGGCTTCACCGAAACGCTCCTGTGAAAACGAACACTGGCGGCGGGCAAGAACGTGGGACACGCGGGGCATCGCGAAATTAAAACGCGGGCAAGCTTCCTTTCACGCGACTTTGGCCAGTAATTCCCCCCAGCGGAGACTGGAAGGATTCTGTATGCAAAGGTCAAAACCGGGACGGGCTCCATAGGCAATTTACCAAGCTCAGGCTACACAATCTACAATTCTTACGTCACCCTGCTCTCTCTCTCTCTCTCTCTCTCTTTTGTCAATGGTTCCAAAATTAGTGTTTATTTGGTTACTGGAAACATACAGATAGGTGGACAGCAGGCTAAAACAGATGGGGAGGAGGGGGGGGGAGTCATAGTAATATGGGGGCGAGGGGGTTAAGGAAAGCCACGCCTTTGCCCATCATCAGTGTATGTGCTCGCTGTCCCGGCTCGCTTAACCAAACCGACGGCAACTGCTCGCGACAGACCCAACTGAGCCACCTTTTCCGAGTGGAGGGAAACGGAAATTCAAGTTTAGGTTCGGCAGCTTCTTCTACGCGTAGGTCCCTCCGGTGATGAGCAGTTCGTAAGCGGGGTCTCGACTCCTCCGGCAGAGGACGATGCAGGCACACAGCATGCCCAAGAGCTGCGGGGGTGGGGGAAGAAAAGAGAAGCAAGATTGAACACAAACAGGCATACTAAGGGCACCAGGTATTAGAACATAAGAAGTGCCCAGCTGGATCAGGCCAGGGGTCCATCTAGTCCAGCATCCCGTTCCGTGCAGTGGCCAACCGGTTCCTCTTGAGGGCCGACAACGGGTCATTGAGGCCAAGGACTTCATGAGAACATTCAGTCGACCATGGCCAGTGCTCCCTCTAAGCTGAGTTAGTGTGAGCTAGCTTTTAGCTTCCAGCTCACGCGTTTCTCTTAGCTCAGGAAGGAGGGCTCCAGAGCAAGCTAATTTATGCGGTGGCCGAATCGCTCGCTCACAACTTGAATGCCAGTAGCTCACAAAGTAGAATTTTTGCTCGCAAGACTGCACAGCTTAGAGGGCGCATTGACCACGGCATGTCTAAAATGACCCCAAAGAGGCTAAAGGCTTGAACCTCACAGCCTAAATCCTGGCTTATGCTGCAACTGCTCTTCATGCAGTCTTTCTGCATTAAGGAAAACATACTTTTATAGACACCATACGGGGGTTAGGTAAAAGGTAAAGGTTCCCTTGCTCGAAAGCCAGTCGAGTCCGACTCTA